CTGTCCCAGTAACAAAGGGTAAGTAGTGCTCCTTCTTTACCATCAAATTATTTTCCAATGTTTGGAAATAAGCAGAACCCATTCAAAATAGAGAGAAATGCCAATTAGGTGTTTTTTATGAAATATCTTGACTGGCCAATTGAAGGCAGCAGGTAGATCATTAAAACTCCAGCAGAGCAGCTCCCGTGACTGGACTGAGCAGAAGTGAAGGAGAAGACTGTTCCTTTGTTTCACAGTTTCAGCCCCAGAAAGAAGTGCTCAAATTTGTTAAAGGCAGTTGCTCACAGCCTAAATGGACATATTTGACTCAGTCCTGTGCAGTCATGGGGCTGCATTCCAGAGGACGTGGCAAGCGCATGGGTTGCCCTTTAATTGAAATCCAAAACCTTGTGCTAGAGCCTGAATTGTGCCATCCAGATTCATGCAATAAGAACAGTGTGCAGCATCTGTGACATGCTAGCCTGCTCCTTTTGCAGGTCACACACACAAGCAAATCTGAAAGAACTATTCAGGAGTCCATTTAGCAGTGCCTGCATATGAGATGTAGCTAATGAGCCACTTAACCAACAACCGCTGCCATTAACACCCAGGCTGCCATTAACACTGTATCTATATGAAAAGGTAGGACAAAAACTTTACATCTGTAACACTGGTCAATTCATAACAGCTCCTCTTGAATATCAACTTGTGTGTTTGTATAGCTCCAGAAGCCTGACTTTAGTATTTCAAAGGCTGTTTTTCCCCCAAGAGAAAAAACCCAAATTCACAGTTATACTGCCTCAGAGTGATGTGCTGCATGGGTGAGTTATTCAGTCTTCCAAGCATAACTTCAATATGTCAGGTTTTCAGGTGTTCCCCTGAAGGGATGCACTTAATCATCAGTCCTTTCCATACACAGATAAAGTGACAGATCAACACTCAAATCTGATCTGGTGCATTATTTCTCCATAATGAACAAACTCAGCAGAGATGCAGAAACAACTCCAGCAGTTCTTGAAAACAGCTACTAGTTGATCCTAACTCCTGCATATCCTGGTGGTAGGCCATCGGTATCTGATGCAGAGCTCTGCCACTGTGTTGCATAATTACCTTGTTCCAGTTCCTTCAGCTTCTTTGTCAGCGATTCTATGCGAATGTGGAACTCTACAAGCTTTTCTTTCAGCTAGAAAAAAAGAGAAATAAGAGTACTAAAACTAGCAAAAAAATGTCCTAACGCTGCATCTTTAAATGATCTGCATCAAGCGCACTTTCAGTGGCTTAAGAGCAGCTCATTTTTAAGATGGAAAAATAATGGGGCTTGAATCTTTATACTGCATGTCTAGTACAGACAAAACCAGCACCCAAATCATAGGTCTGCACTACAAACTGGAGAGGGATGAACGTGTGCCAGCATCAGCACTTCCAGAGACGTAGGGAAGTACTCTAAGGAGATTCATTTACTATGATGAATCTGATCTTTCCTAGTTAAGTCATTACAAGTTTTCACACAACCAGAGACCTTCTTTGACAATATCTGGACAAACTGTTTCATCATTAGCTTAGGAATACATGCGGACACATTATTTATCAAAAAGCAAAGGCCGGATTCTTGAGCTTGTTCTAGTTAACAAGCAAACTCTCTACAGTCACATAATTTGTGTTTGCAATGAAGTATTATCATTGCATCTCAGCTTTACAAGTCTTGCCTGGATAAGATTTTTGCATTTTAGTCTCACTTGACCTGTAAAAACACTATGATCTTATGGACACTGGAAGATGATTTTAAAGAGGACAAAAGAAATGTCACAGGCCCATTAGAAGAGAAACTAAACTAGACAACTAAACAAAAAAAATGAAAAAAAAAAAAAGTAAGAAATAAGTAAACCCATGAACTGGGTACACTGGCTCTCTCCTACATACCATATGGGACAGACAATTTACTAAGATAACAACTAACCAGGTTACAGACAAGAACATCCAATTTAAACACCAAGGAAGGAGGAAGGTCCTAGTGCTGTCTCTGAAGCTACAAATACTGCCATGCTGTTTTGAGCTTACACAAACATAAATATAACTGTGCAAGTATCCCTTTCAAATTAACAAATTACTATTTTTTCATTCTTCAACAGTGATAACACAAGTAGTAATACTTAGGTGAAGTCTGTATAAATGATCCTTGGGTTTTTTCTTTTCATGGTATAGAGGTAAAAGGATAAAAAACTTTTGCCAGAAATTTAGCTACAACTGGATATGTTATGCAGATTAGGGGGCTTAGAAAATGTTCCATGTGTCTCACACATTGAGGCAGTCACTGTAATATAAGTCAGCATATTCTCAATCTTTTGCACTTAAAAAACCAGTAATTGTATCCATATTTTGGAACTAATATCCCAAATTATCAGCAGTTTAAAACTATTTTCCATTAATGTAGAGATTAATGTAGAACCCCTTACTTCCTTCACTTGTTTCTTTAAGGTCACAGCAGGAAAATCCACCTTAGAAGCTTCTATAACCATTTGGTTTTCTAAGAGATAACTGGAAAACAAAAGGGGATAGGGAAAAAAGCCACAAGAAAAACAGTTAAAAGCCACAAGAAAAACAGTTGCGTTCATTATTTAGACAGATTATTTAAGACAATTTTAAAGCAGATACAAAGTTGTTGCCAAAAGTAATCAATAATTATGAAAATATGAAAAACATAACAATGGTTTTACTTTGAGATCTTAAGATCCTCTCATCACCGGCTATAAGTAATTAAGTTTCTACAGTCAAGCCCTTAACCTGTCATGGAACTACTTTGATACCTTACATTAGCTAAGCAAATCTGGAAGGGAAGGAGACTTCAGCATTTCACTCAATTAAATTTAAACCCTTCCATTACATGAGGACACTCAAGAAGTGCAAGGCAAATCAAATAGATTCACATCAACACAAACAACTTAGACATCCAGGATGTTAAAATCCCACACCAATGTGCTCAGACAAAAGTAAAGTCACTTTAGCTGTTGGCCAGTTGTACAGTAACTTACAAATACCTGTGAAATCCCTGACTGTAGGAATACAGCGTACTCACCAGAGGATTCTGTCCTTGAAGAAACAGAACAAGCCTCGGAGATATGCCAGGTCACTGGCGGCAGAATGAAGGATGAAGCCCACAGACAAGCCACATGACCGACAGGATAATGCATTGTAAGCACTAAAAGGAGAAAGGGAAAAATATTTTTAAACAAAAGCTTTTGAAACCATAGATACTACATGTCTGTCGGACAACATCAAATCTTCAGTTCTATTAGGACAAAAACCCAAGACATAATAATGCTTTCTCATTAAAAAAATAACAGATACACAAAGAATGTGAACATAAACAGTTGGGCATGTTGTGCCCAAGTAATGAAATAATCTCTTCAATAAGTGAAGTTGCAATTATGGAAGAAAATACACGTCTTATTATCACAGAGTGGTTTAGGCTACACTACTCAAACAGGATTTAACTGATAAAACAACGCATATGCCAGGTCACAAACGTGAAATTTCCTCTTGGTAAAACAGATTATTGCTTCATGCAGAGAGAGGGGGTGGGAATAATAGAAAAAAAAAATAGCAAGTCTTATATTTAAAAAGTTCCCAGTCCTTATAGCTTGTAAAACAGCCTTTAAACATCTTTTATATGAGCTTCTGTAAGCCCTCAGATGACATTTTACGCCCCTCCCATTAGACCAGTCCCTGAGTTACCAAACCTGTTGCTAACTGTAGCCTAATGAATAGAGCAGCAGAAATTACCCGTTTTCAGTACTAAGAAAAACCAACCAAACAAAACACAGGAAAAACAAACAAACAAACAAACACCACCAAACCAAACACAACCCAGTGATGCTTTAATTCAGATAAAAGACCTTTTAGGGAAGGAAAGAAGGAGACCTAAACGGTAGGCCGTCTCTTACTGCATTGCTCAAATGCTCCTCTCCGCTACAAAGGTTAGAGCAGTAAAACTTTTGATTTTGACAGAAGCAAAAGCTACATCCCTACAAAAGGTTTCTCCATCCGAAGCGGTGAAGCAGAGGTACAAAAAGCACTTGGGAGTTTGCTAAGCCCCTCACGAGCCTCCGTGCACGAGCCGGAGGAGCCCCCGGGTCCCGGCCTTGACAGACCCGGCTTTGCCCGCCCGATTTACCGCGGCGGCCCTATGCCAAGAGAGCAAGGACTAGGAGAGCTACGCACCATCCCAGGAGCGGTTCCTCGAGGCCGATCAAGAGCGAATCCTCCCAGACCACATCACTGGTGACTTCTGCGGAGAGAGAGACGCGCTGCAAGCGAGAGCCCCCGGACCAACCTCAGCCCGGCCTGAGACCCGCCCCGCGGCCCCAGGGGCAGTGGCAGCGAGGGGTTGGCACCCCCCTCCCCGAGGAGACACTGACTGAAGCAGGCGAGGAAGCCAGACCGCGGCGCCTCCGGCGCGCACAACTTCAACGAGTCCCCCAACACCGTCCAGCAGCCGCGGCAGTGGAACACGGCGCACAGCTCCGGCAGCGGACCCTTCTGCCGCGGAGGCGACGCCGGCTCCGCAGGCGGCGGCAAGGGCGACGGCGGCGACGGCATCCAGGTAGCAGCGGCCGGGGAGGACGCCTGCTCCAGCACGATGGTCCCGACGAGCTGCGGGTCCTGGAACAGCTGCGGATCCTGGAGCAGCTCCCGCAGCTGCCGCCGCACCGCCATCTCCTCCCGCCGCGCGCTCGAGCGCGGCGCCCGCCCTCCGAGCCTCGCGATTGGAGCGCGGCTCACGGCTCTGCGCTGCCACTGGACAGTGGGCGCGTCAATCCTGGCCACCCGAGGTGATTGGGCAGCGAGCCGCACCGAGCGAAACTCCCCCTAGCCGGGAACGCCCAAGCGCACTCGAAAATAAGCACGCGCAGCGGAGCGCGTCGTCATTGGCGGTTCCCGCGCCCCGCCCCCGGGGCCCGTTTCCTGCCGCAGCCAATGGGCTGGCGCGGCGGGCAGTTCGAACGGTGAGGGTGGGCGGGCGCAGTGTCGGTTGGGCGCGCGGCGCGGGCCGGGGGTGCCGCCACCATGCCGCTCGCCTCGCCCCGCACCCTGGAGGCGCTGAAATACGTCGAGCTCCAGCGTCTTGCCAAGGCCGTCGGGCTGAGGGCCAACCTCCGCGTGAGTGGGGCAGCGGGGAGGGAGCGGTGCCAGGGAGCAGAGCGAGGGGTGGGCGGGGGAAGGTCCGGGTAATGAGGTTCCCCCTCCGCCCGGCCGTGAGCCCGGGGCAGCGAGTGTCTCGCCCGTCCCCGCGGGCGGTGCTCTCGGTATGGGGCCGCAGCCGCCGTCCCCTCCCGGCGCTAGTGGCGGTCTGGCCCGCGCGGTGCGTCCCGAGAGAAGCGGCCCGGCCGTGCGCCCCCATGCGGGGCTCGGGGGAGGGGGCGACACGGGGCTCTGGCCGTCCGGAGTCACCGAGGAGGGGAGGCTGCCCCGCCTCTCCTGTCCCCGGCCCATGGTGGCCCAGCTGCTCCTCTCTCGCCGCTGTTCCCCCGCTTTTTCCGCCCTCCCCTTCGGTGCGCGTAGGTGTGGTCAGTTGGTTGCTTTATTTGCGATTCGGAGTCGGAGGAGCAGAGACAGAAGGGTGCCTTCAGGGAGGGAAGCGTGTGTGGGCGTTTACCAGCCGCGGTTAAGGAGGAGAAGTTGAAGCTCTCCCCGATATTCTGCCTGGTGTACCCGTGGCACGGCCTGGCCTCTCCTGGCAGGCGCTGCCAGCAACGGGAGAAATCCGAAAACCTTGAGGAAAGTCCACGGCTTCGGTGGACAAGGGAGTTCGTTGTCCTGACTTGACTAAGAATTTTTCCTGGAGTTTTAGTTTTGGGATATTTTGCTCTAAAACTGCTAGTTCGGGTTTGAATTTGTGCTGATCTTTCCAGCCAGGTGTTTAAGAGCCTTTTGTAGCCCGAATTATCAATGGCGTGGTTTTGTTGTTGTATTATTGCTGTTGCTGTTGGATGTATGCAAGGGACAAAAGGTGTTTTGCATGTAGTATGGACAAGACAGAACTTTAATATGATTTCAATTCATGTTCAGCTGTGCAGTGTTGGTTAAAACAGCCTGTCTCATTCATCCTTGAACAATTAACCTTGTCTTAAAAACAGACAGACCGAAAGAAACCTAGTCAGGGAAATTTGCCTTTGTGCCTCGGTGGAGAATTAGCCACCAGCGTGCTTGTAACAAATGTGGATAGAGCTTTTCCCAAATCTTCGTTCTGCGGCCTTAAGCATTTTCCCTAATTTGCCTTGAATGAAGCCTTTGGCACCTTATTCCATCGCATTCAGGAAATGTTCTGCTTGTTTGTTTGATCAATTTAGAGGTCACTGGTTATGTTTATGCAGGTTTTTGTTTGATGACTTAATGGCCTATTAGGCTCATAAATTGCTTTGATTTCTCTCCAGGCAGACAAACTGTTGGAATCATTGAAGCAACACTTCAAAGAAACAGAACAAGAAAATATGGTAATAGATGATAAATCAGCTATTGTTTTTAAGAGATATAAACTTAAATTTATAACCAGTAGGATGGGGTGTGTGCTGGAGGGTGGTTCTGACCGTGATGTGAACTGTAATAGAAATACCTTTTTCTTCTTAGTGCCCTTACCTTAATGTACTCATATACTGATAGAAATAGGTATGCTAATGTTAGTTTTGAAGTGGCCTCCCATATGACCCAAAGCTGTTTTCCTTTCAGCTGCAAAAATTAATAATGTATTTTTCAGCATCGGTACAAAATTAGTCTCTGTAAACACTAACACCTAATTTCCATTGAACAAGTCTCAGGTTTTGCCTGTTTAGCTCCAGACAATAGTCAGTACCAAATATTTTTATATTTTATTTATTTTGCATGTCTAGATAGTAATTGGAAAACATTTTGCATTTATTATGATTTACTTACACTAGCACTGTAATGAAAGTGATAGAGTTGTGCTATTCCCTTTATTAATTTCTTAAGCTATTATTTTCTTAACTTTTTTTGTTAATTTTTTTGTAAGCTGAATTATTTTGTTGAGTGTGGTGATGTTTTTTGTTTTTGATAAAAAACAATTCAGCATCTGCTTTTTCTAAAATGTATCTCCCTTTAAGTGCTTCCTTTAAAAATCTTTAAAGGTTTGAGGGAGTGCTGTAATCCTTGTCAGCTTATTATTAAAAATTTCTTTTGGTGAAGAGTGTTCCACAAATGTACAAGTCTGGGAGGATTGCAGCATTATACAAGTTAGATTTCAAATATGAAATATTAGGCTTTTATAATCTTATTAAAATACAATATAATAAAACAATCATAGAAATTATTTTGAGAGTCCTCAAACAAAGAGCTTTGATGTTTAGGGAAATCTAGATATTGCCAGTTTCGTGATTACTGTGCTGCTAAATGGCATGCTTGCTACTGTTTTTCCTCTGTGTGAAATACTTTTTCCAATAATAAAATTGAAACTGTCCCTGGAGTATCTAATTCATGTTTGTTTCAGCTATCTCTGACATTATAGTATTTTTCTGCTACAGGATCCTGAAAAGAGTGCATCTGCTTCCATCAAATTGGATGAACTGAGCAATCAGAAAATTGGGCCTGATTCAGGGTGTTTTATTACAAAAAGATATTGCAATGAAAAGAAAATAACCAGAAAAAAGAGGAACTTCCATGAGGAAACTAATACCAGTGAAGAAAACCCAGTGCTTTCTGATGAGAAAGAGGTGACATGCATTGCTTGGTTTTGTCTCCCCTTCCTCTGAGCGTAATTTAAACACAATTGATTTCTTTTTTACCACCATTTAGAGATGGTATACATTTATATATGTGTGTGTGTGTATATATATATATAAGAATTTCATACACAATGTTCTGGTATTGGACTTATGTACTTTCTAGCACTGACTTTTCTCTATCTTAACTATGTGCTATTCCATAATAAACAGACATTACTTGCTAGTCATTGCTTCAAGGAAATAAATTCCTCTAAGAAATATACAATACCAAGCACTTTATCTGAGTGTAAGGGTGCTTTTACCTGGTTCATCATAGTATTCTGAATATTAAGATAGTTTCAGAATTTATCTAAAATAAGGCTGTTCTCACTTTTTTAATACAGAAAAAATAATCAGAAGTTGCACCATTGCCTAAACTTCACAATTTTTTTTTATTGTGAGTGTTGTATGACTGAGGGAGAGGAAGTTTCAAGGTGAGATGGACGTAGGATTCTTTTTCTCTAGAGTTACAAGGAGTAGCTAAACTAAGAACTGTCTGAAAGACTTTTAATGCTCTAAGGAGGGAAATGAGGAGATGAAGTGTTAGAAAATTATACAGTAACCAAAGCTCCAACAGTGAAAAGTAACATACCCAGTGAATTTATTTTTACTTGCAAATAATTATTTCTTGTCAATAAAGGCAATTTTATACTAAAATGTTGGAGCTGTGCAGGTGAAAGCTTTCTAATATATCTGTTTGTGAAGTAACAAGGTAAATATTTCTCAGGTTAATTCAGAAAATCTCAATCTCCCAACCAAAGCAGACTCAATTGTAAGGTTAGACCACAGTGCTTAAGGCTTTATCTAATCTCATGTTGAAACCCCCTGACATGGAGGCTATGCAACTCACTGGGCAACCTGTTCCACTGATTCACTGTTCTCAGAAAAGCAGCCTTTCTTTGGAACAGAAAGGAACAAACAATTGGAAGAAACTGTTTGAATGAAGTATGTTTAAATTGCAGGTGCATTCTGAAATGAAAGAAAACGAAGAGCCTCAGGATGAGCATAAAAAGGGACAGAATGTATTCCGAAACAAGAAACAAGTAACTGAAAAGAGGGCTATTGAGAATGCAGGGATGGGTACTGGTCAGAAGAAACAAGCTGAGAAGACTTCTACTAAAATCAGGGGAGATGAATGTAAGTAAAAAATTGAAAAAAGCAACTTTAATAATTTGTACTACTTAAAATAACCAGAAAGTACATTTTATTTTGTTATGAAGATTTTTGTGGCATGTCTGGTGATTAGTACTTTATTTGGGGATACCAGAAGAAAATATGTCTGGGTGTTTTTTTTTTTTTACATATTGTTACATAAACCCACAAATTCTGCACTGTAGCAATTCTGCTGGCTTTGACTTCAGAACTCTGGACCTGATGTTTTCAGTGAAGGAGTTCTGAAAGGTCTGAGTGCATTTGAGTCTTGCACTTCCGAAAGGATCAGTGCATTTTGGAATATCCCTGAGGTTGTTACTTGGCTCCTTTAACAGCTGGCAAGGAAAGGAGAGCTTGCTTCCTAAGGCTTCATTTATCTTTTCCTACAGATGAACAGTTTTATCTTGTTTTTCCCAGGAGTAAAATTAGTAGAAAAGAATGTACAGACAGAATCCTTTATAACTGGTTTGAACTACCTAACCTTATCTATATTCCAGTGCATCATTTTTCCATCTGGTGGTTTTTTTAGTCCTTCAAACATGATACCACTGCAAATATTAATTAATTTATCCCCCACTCCGTTGTGTATGAGCTGACAGGAAGAAATGAGTTCATCTAATCAATCTGATAATTTATTGGTATTGTGGATCTGTCAAGTAAGATATATATATAGCTTTATTTGCTCTGGTTAGGCTATGTGTACAGTCTGTAAGCTGGATTATAGATATTCTTGCTGTTCAGTGGAATTTATAAGGACAATCTTATGGGAGACCACCTATAATTTTGAAATTAGCTTAGTAGGATTTTCAAGGAAGGTTATTTTTAAAAACAGAAGCACTAGAGTATTGTGGAGGATGCTTGGGTTGAGGCAGCATTCATCCTGACAGCTGGTACAGTACTCATACCTTCTTGTAACCGTAGTTACAAGTGTCTGTACTACTTTCTATGTTGTGTTTTTGGGGGGTTTTTTTGTGGTTTTCTTTGGTTGATTTGGGTTTTTTTCCCAGTAATTTCAGAGCGAGAGTTGTTACAGGCGAATACTATGTCTGCATTTAATGTTAATAAGGTGATTTTTCAACAATTATTTTCAACAACACCCCATTATTTTCTTCTAATGAGGATTTCTTTCAATATATTAGGGTCATCCATGTTTACTTTTAAGGGGATGTGAAGGAACAGAAAAACAAATGTTTGCTTTTTATATGCAAATGCTGAACTTGATGTGAAGTCTTTACCTGATTTTTTTTTTTAAATTAATCAGTAAAATGTGAACATGAGCTTAATAATAGACTTGAGAGCAGAGAGAAAAAAAAAGAACTCAGACTCTCTGTATGTATATAAGGCAGTGGCAGAAAAGCTGGGCAAAAGGTATTTCTTCTTTATTATCAACATTTAAAAACCACAGATGAAGACCTGTGAATTTAAAAGTTGCTTTTGCTTACCACAAGCACAGTTCTCTTTTTAACTTTCACTGTAAAATACTTTGTCATAAGATACTAACCTCACGGGACTGTAAGATTCGTGCTGGGCTTGTAGCTTGTCAAGACGTGCTATTACTGACAAACCAATTAAAACACTTTGGAGAGACTTAAGACATATTCCAGCTCTTTTTATTTCTCAAAACCTGAACCCACTTTGATGAGATAAGGTGTGTTTTGGAACAAATTCTTTTAAAACCATTGTGATGACTTTAAGATGTTTTCCAGGAGTTCTAATGATTTTGTTCAATCTTACTGTACCAGGTGATGCTCATCACGCAGGAGGGAAGACCCCTTTATCTGTAGGCCATGCATCTAGGTCTGCAAAAACAGGGACGAAAGCTACTACACCAAGTAAGACAACCTACCATCTTTAGAAATAGATGTGTTTTAATGTGTGTAAAGGGAGACTTGACTTAGTTTTTTATAACTCAGATTTCTATTTTTGCTCAAAGAAGAGAACATCCTCTCTTTAAAAATCAAACAAACAAAAAAATTTCCCAAAGGTTACATTTTAAGGTACTTATTCCAACTTGTAAATTCAAAGTAGTAAATGACTGGCATGTATATTATAAAACTGTTATTGAACATTTTGATGTCTTTTGGATATAATACTTGCATTAATGATTTTCAAAGAGGAGGAATACATGCCATTACTCCTGCTTGTTTATTTTTCACTTTATAAATACTACTGTTCTGCTGTATTACTATGTATTAGCTTATTTTCATCACTTCTTAAAATGCATTCATTAGTTTAAATTTAGAAGTACTTACTGTTCTCTTTAACTGCAGAATTTGGGGGTTAGATGATCTTTAAAGGTCTCTTCCAACCAAACCTGTTCTGTGATTCTGTCATTCTCTGGAGCATGCACCAGGTAACTGTGGTCACATAGCTGGTGAAATAGGTTCTTTTCCATTCTGTTTGGCCAGGTGTGTATGCAGAGGGATACTTTTTCTTTGAGGCCTTAACAATAGGTGTTGCAAAATTCTCCTATTAAGTATTAAACTTCTTTAGAGCATATTAGATCTGTGAATCTTCTTTCTTAGACTTTAAAAGGTTGCACGAGGCTCACTTCAAGAACTTGGAATCTATTGCTGATTACATGGAGAGAAAAAAAAAAAGGCATGAAAACTGTACCAGTTCGCTCAGCACAGCCAAGGTAACTGATAACAGAGGAAGATATCTGTTGTTCCCATATTCATTTATTTCCAGGGCCTCTCTGTAAGACTCCCTCTGTCTTAGAGTCTCTTTAGAGCAGTAAGTATCTGGTCACGTGAACAAACAGCAGAATGTTATGATGAATGAAATTTAACTTAGTCCTATATAACTAATTATATATAGTTATTTGTATATAACATTGTTTTGCCAAGAGACAAGAGACAGCACAAGAGACACAGACACGAACTTTAAAGAGCAAGTGTATAAATTTACTATAGCTCAAAACAGCAAAGAATTACAAAAAGATAAGCTTGGCGATGCACCTGATCATTACTGCAAAGTGTCTGTAGTGATTAAGAAAGATACATCACCAGTTACCCTTTAATGCAACATCATCCAGACTCGCATGTCAGCTGGGGAGCCCCAATTGCAGCAAAGGGTGGGAGAACCACTCCCAGTAACTGGGAAATCCTACGCACTGCATCTACTCGTAGGTGAGGCTTCCATCTTCACTGTGAAAAGGGCTTGTGAAAAAAGCTTTTATACTGGTAAACAAACATGCTTACATCACTGCTTAGTGCGGAAAAACATCGGAATTTCTTCTCTCCTGGGGTTTCATCCAAAGCCTGGCCAGGGCTCAGAGAAAAATCAGGGGAGTCAATTTGGACTGTTTAATGTTGAACAAGGCCAGCCATCTACTTTCATGGCCTTGACGAGTCTCTAAATTCAGAAGCATAGATACATTCATATTTCATTAATGAATAGATAGAAATCTTTGTTAATAAGCAGATACCTGTATGTCTTACTAACAAGCATGCATGTCTACGCAGATGTAGTCTTATTATACTATATATTTTACTAATGATTATACAGAATTTTAGCTAATAAGCAGATACATAACTAAATATAACATTAGGTTGGAAGGTTCATCTAGAGGTCAGCCCTGGCTCAGGGCCTGGTGTTCAGGCCTCAGCACTTCAAATACATACGTTGTATAACTTTTTATATATTAACAGTGTATAGCTATAGGAACCAACAAATAACTTGTTTGAGTTAAAATAATTATGTCACAACTACTTCTGTGGAAGATCTCCTGGAGCTTTTGTTTACAACTGTTTGAATTGCTGTGGAACTTTAGGGGATAGGCTGTCTTTCAAAGAGCAGCAATTAAATATTCATTTCCTCTTTTATGCCTTAAAGAACTATTGTCCAATGGCTGCATATAACTCTCCTTTGAAATATATGCAATATATATTGTTCTTAGTGTCCCTGACACTCACTTCTTACATTTAACCCTCGCATGGGTCAAAGCTGGACCTCTTGCAAGTGTGGCAGATCCTAGAGAAGTGACAGTAATGCATCAATGAATATATAAATATGTCAATGGATATGGAATTGTTCAGGTTGGAAAAGACCTTTAAGATTGTTGACTCCAACCATTATCCTAGCACTGCCAAGTCCATATCAAAACAGTAACACTGAAACTCCTGAGCACTACATTTCTTTATGGCATACATGTATCAATGCATACTTGAGACAGATTACTGTTGGCAGGTGCTGAACATCCCTTAAAAGCATCAGAAAAAGGAACTCCATATTACAGTTCTAAGGTATATATTTTTGGATCAGGATCAGTTTAAAAACAATAAAACTATTCATGTTTAAAATATGCATTTAAAGAAATAAAAGGGAAAAAAACTGAAGAGGCTATGCTTATGATTCGCTGTGTATTTTCCTCTTGGCTGCTTTTCAGATAAATTTTTAGCGGAGTCTGGTAACTCATTATTTGATTTTTCCCTAGAAACGAGCCAGTGGCAAAGCACTTTTATTCAGCCCAAATCCTGCAAGAGGTAGATTCTCTACCACCTGCACTCCTGGTAACCTCCGGCGCTCACCACGCAATTCTCTGAATGCTGCAAATCGGAGTATTTTATCCCAGAAATCTTCATTTAATCCTTCTGTTCTTTCAACATCCAAAATGAATGTCAGGTAAAAAGAACAAAACAAAACTAACAGCAAGCCATTTGATAAAATACACATGAAATAATCAACACTGACTGTGATTTTACTATATTATTTCTATTCTAAACATGAACTGTGCAAGACTAATTCTGATTACTAACTTTCAGCCTAGCATTATGGCTGGTTTAAGCCTTACTGTGCTGTTACTATCTTCCTTCTTTGTTATGTCTGTTGATAGCAGAATCTCACATCTGAGCTTCTATTTTGCTAAACCAGGCAAGCAAATTATTTTTCTTACTATGTTAGGTTTTCCATTTTGTCAGACAACCTATCAGTGTCTGTTATATCTAAATTAATTTATCTTTGAGATTTCTTAACCAGAACTGTATTCAGTATTCCAGGTGAGTCTTGCAATGGACTCATCATTCGGGGTTTTTAGCTACTCTCACTTCCTTTTGTCCTCTATTTCCCCTCCCCCTCACTGTCACAGCAGGGATTGTCTTGTGATTGACTACTATAAGCAGATTGTTTCTAGCAGATGGGAACTAAGTTCATACTAGTAAGTCATGAGGAATTGCTAAATGAACGAACTCATACTCAATGCTACTATTTTATCTCGTTTCCTTTTAAAACATCATGTGTATGTCATTATTCCTCCACAGTAATCTAATTCTCTATTAATGTTTGTTTCATGAACTTGTTATCAGAAAAATTAATAAGCTAATAAAATTTACTGAAGTCTTAATCAAGAAACCTTTTAAAAGAAGGAATCAAAAGGACAGACTTTATGGCGTTGCATTGACAAATGTCCTTTTGCTTGGTTTTCTTTTTAGTGAGTCCTTGTCTGTACTATTCCTTAGTTAGTTTTTAACTATTATACTAATTCTGACTTTAATCATTTTACTAAACTTTCCACAGTGACTGAAGTTCTGATTAGACATTCTCCCTTGCTAACAATACATGGTTGTTCTCAGGTCTTGGTTGTGTTACTGTCCATTTCTCTGATGACCTTCACTTTTCAACGTTTGCATGCCAACGTTATAGCTGCTGGGGCTTTTTGTCCCTGAATAAAGTGTATGTGGTGTTGTTATTGTGAAGTCAGATAATGCAACTTCTAATATTGATAACTGATAATATAAAATTATGTGACTGGAATGCAGGTATTTTGCTGTTCAAAGGTCAAAATCAAGTTTATAAACTTACTAGCTTTGTTTCTACTTTAAAAGTCCTCTTTTTGATTTCAGTAAATAACAACAAATGAAAAAAGTAACCATTCCCCCTCTAGTGTCTTGTTGGATGATCTTTGTCTCCACTGCAGCCCTCATTGATGCTTAGCAATATGTAATCCATTGATCCAAAAATGCACTGAGGTGGATCTTGCAAGCTGTACTTCATCATAAACTTGCTAGCCCACAAAACATAGCTTTCTTCAACATATACTTCACTGTCTTTCCAAATCTTGCAGGCTTTTAGCTTATTCTCAGTACCTTTTTGATAAGGGTGTTTCTTCATGCATGCAAGATTTTGAATTTTCTTTCATGTGTTTATATATATGTGTACACATACATATGTATTCACACATACACATTAAGAATGTGTATATACACATATACATACAGTATGTATGTGCATCTTGGTATGCAAGTAACTTGTGTGTTCTGACTAAAATTTTGAGCTTCATCTTGTAATCTTTTGAGTTGCAGCATTCTGTTAATTAATATTCTTTCTTAATTTGGATTTTAAAACTAACAATAGTGACATGTAATGCTTTACTACAGAATCCAAATATAAAGTAAATCATATCTATTGCTGAAGAAATCTACTATCTTATTGCATCCAAATACATTTGCTTTCCAAAATAACAAGCAAGTGAGTTCTTTGTAATTCCTAATATCCTTTACTGCTATTGATGATGGCTCATAACTCGAAAACTGTTATACCAGGAAGGCATTTTAGTGCAGTTGATACATGAGCTGTGAATATCTTATATATGCAAGAATATCTTATATATGTAAGAAAAGCAGAATGCAGAACTTTCTGTATTCTGGCACATTGCTTACATTCCTTGTAGGTGACTAAATATGTCTTCATATTTCTAACTATTTTCAGGTTCTCAGAAGCCACAAAAGATAATGAGCACAAACGCTCTCTTACCAAGACTCCATCTCGAATGTCTCCATACATGCAGGAGATTTGCACACCTGACACTCAAAAGAACTGCAAACCAATAAGTCAGAAAAACAGCAAGGGAAATGCAAGAAATAATGATCTGACTGCACCAAAGGGTAAAGTGGATGGTGAATATTTGGCTCTTTCAGATCAAGACTTTTGTGATAGTGAATTATTATATAAATTGTCATGTAGTCCCAGGTCTTAATTTAATTTTCTATTTTATGATTGATTCTTTAGAAACTGCAATGTTTTGTTTCATTTGTTTTCCAGTGGCTTGAGTAAAAGGGTTGGGTGCCAAGACATAAACATACGGTACCTAGCTACCTATAGAAAAGAGGATAGAAAATCTTCTAGACCTTTAGGGCCTACATAGCAAAAGATTGTTATTGCAGATACAGGGAGACCCTGTCTGTGGTGACAGGAGTTCCCAATGCCTTCTCAGAGATTTCATTCTCCTTGTGGAGTTAGCATTCATTAGGCTTTTAGCTGTGTTTTAGGACAACCAGCCTCAGCTGGTTGATTAACTCCCAAACTAAAACTTAGAAAAAACTGTAAGTCTTCTGATTGCTAAGAATCTTTGCACCAGCACAGCTCTGCTATCTAGCCACTGATATCCTTAGTATCACTGGCCTATTGGCACAGGCCAAGAACCCAGAGCTTCTTGGTTTGCTCTGTAACAATATTGTTTGTTTAATGTGAAAAGCCACCCAGTTCCACATAGAGACTAGGAAACACAATTTGCTCAGAAGTATTAGCAAAACAGATGAAGCTGTATATGCTCTTAGATAGTATAATCATACCAAAAGGGCTAGTACTCTGCAACTCTTGCCCTCTCCAAACCTGGAAACTCCCTATTTCAGGCAAGCTGTATTTGTGCAATGCTATTGTTAGAGGTAGCAGACAGTAGCATTTAATGGCTCTTTGGTCTTGATAATTGTAAGATGGTCTTCACAGGCACTTCCCAACTTTGTGTGTACAGCATTTCTCTTGTTACTGTAATAATGATATTGTGATGCCTTTTGTAGTTATCACTCCCTTCAAGTTTGGAGCTCAATCTGCAGAACCCACAAGCACAAAAAAGACATTTGATCTCAAAGCAAGTCTCTCGAGGCCACTTCGGTATCAGCCACATAAAGGTACTGTGATCCTTTGCAGCTCGTGTTGGTCACACCCCTTATACTCAGCTGCTGGCAGGGAGTACTCAGGGAGGCATTGATACAAATTGTGATAGCAAACTTTATAGTCTCTTTTCCTGTCCCTTTTCCTTTCTCTCTGGATTCCCACACAGTCTGTGGACTGATGTAAGATTTCTACATAATATATGCTTCAAGAGCTTTGCTACTGAAGATTAAGACTTTATGACTAAAAGCCCACCAATACAAGAATAAGCATCCTTGTATTCCACTGAATGATGTTATGTACAAGAAATAGGAAGCATTCCTACATAATTAGACTTTTTTTTTTTTTTTGAAGTGCACTATTGTTTCAGAAGCTGAACTCTGTGTGGTGAGTTCTACTTTTAAGTGCAGTCATCCATTTCTACTTTTAGAAGGACTACTTGTAGGGAATTGGCTGGTGAAACTGATAATGCAGCTTGAAAATGCATTTCATCTTCAAGTCAACCAGCAAAAAACAGGCTAGCTAGGAAAAAATTCATGATAAGAAGTTAAACACATGGTTACTAAACTAGTAAAGTGGTTTCTCTTTTTGCCCCTAAACTGTAGGACGATTAAAGCCATGGGGAGATTTTAAAGAAAACACTGTCCTCAATAAGTCTGGTGGTAGCAATATCTCTTCACGTAAGAAAGATTACAAACAGCCACATCTCCAGACAAGGTTAGTACACCACTAGTCTTTGTATGAGTAGTGTTATTTAAAATAATATGACTCATTCTTCTTGAGATTTAAATATACAGTGCAGGAAAAAATCCTTTTGTATTAAAGCTATTTTTGTTTCCGATGACTGTTCAATATCAGGAAGGCCAGCAAGGATGGCTGGTCTGAATTTGTTAGACTTTATTTTCCATGAAAGTTATCAGTTCTAGAGTTTGGAGATTTACCTTCACCTTGGAAGAAGCTGGCAACAGACATGTTGCTGCCTTGACTGCTAGACCTTTATGTCTAAGAAGTAATTGCCTGAATGTGTGTTCAGTCCAAAATGGTACAATTCTCTCTAGCTATGGCAAATGCAGCACACTGATAAAAGTAGTATTAAGCCCCAGTCAGTTTCAGATTCCTTTGGTTGCTTGTGTCTCTACCTTTAGTATAACTTGATATGGTCCATCTCTCTTCTTTTTCCCCTTTAGGGAAGAAAGGCGTGAGAAACATGAGCAAGAGAGAAAAAAGAAAAAGGCTCAGGCTCTCGGAAACCGTAGAGGAGTATCTGTGTGTTAGGATGAATAAGAAGTAACTAAGAAATCACTGTAAATACTGGTCCTGTCATGTAAATATTTGTGTTGTCTGTATGGTTCAGGTTGCTATCAGCTAGTGGAATCCAGAGAGCAGTTAATGAGACATTGTATCTGAGCATATTTCTGTGATCAACTTCTCCAATGGGATGAGAGTTCTAGACTTTCAGGAGCTTAGACCTCTCTCTTGTTGCTTCATAATGTTTCAACTAATTTAAATGAACATGTTAAAGAAGAAAATGTAAGTGAAAAAAAGATGCTCAAGAAGCCTCCTTGCAGAACAGACTTCTGCACCAGCATTTGTTGCCTCCTAGAATGCAGGCTTTGGATAACAAGCATCAAAATGTTCCACTTGTAAATTACAGGAATTGGAGATACCTATTCTCTGGATCAATCCTTAAATTCTCTAAAAGTTACAGCAATTATTCAGCATTTCTAATTGCATGCTTATGGCATAGTAGAGAATTTCAAAGAGAAGAAAAAATATGCAAGCTCTCTGGAAAACTAAAAGCTTGCAGCATAACATAATTATAAGCTATCTTATTTTAAAATAAGTCACAACCGAGAATTTACAGATTACCAACTGAATGCTTTGAACAGTTAAGGTTGTTTTGTTCCTTTCTATGGTAAATAGCAATGCTAACAAAATTATTTTGCTTTTTATTCCTGTGATGCTTAAAAGAGATCGTAGTAGTGTTGAAGCACATTCAATACCTTAGATTTAAAAGCAGTTGTTATTTTTTACTTTTAAAAAATACATAGATAAGCTTTCTGGATTTGTTATGGATAGAACTGGAAGAGTAATTTACCAGTTGTAATCTCAGATATTGACCAAATAAATGTTTCACTGAATTTAGTGTCCTATCAAATATATGTTGCAATGTCAAGAACAAGCAATTTTTTTAATGAAGTTAATGGTGAAGAAAATAATATTTTGTATATATCGTGTTTTCAATGGTTATATCATCTAGTGTACTATCTATAACTGCTTCCTTAGTGTAGCAGTAGTTTTGTTCACACTTGTATTTACTACTCCATGCCTTTTATTGTGTCATGTTTTCCTTACCAACCAGCCTGCCTACCACTTCATGAAAGCATGTTTGGTCTGGTATCTTTAGAAATAATAACCCTCATTACTTCTCTCCAACAACCTTAGCTCTGTAACGCTGCAGGATTATCCTCATGAGCTCTAAAGGAAAACCCAAGCCTGCTGCATAGCTACTGTTTCAATCTTGGCAGCAGCAGATTTTTCTTTTTTTAGCTATCTGGAGGAGCCAAAGCTAAAGGTTGCAATACTTCAGTCTTTTCCACTTCTTGGTGCTGCTGTTTGTAAATCTCAGCAGCTGAGTCACACTTAAGCACCAGTCCTCAGGGGATAAATTCTCATCAGACTTTTTTTTGGTTTAAAACTAGCCAGGTTCAAGTGTTTTACAACTGTCAACAAACCATGTAATGTATAAAATGAAAGTAGTGTACAAAAAACCAACTGCAACAAGCTCATGAAATACTTTTTATTTTAGTAAGGGTCAGGACAGAAGCTAAAACTTACCCAGGGAAGAGTTACTACTTCGTAAGAACACATCACAACTCCCCTCAGGCTAGGTGCAGTAAATGTCTGTACAGTCTCTCCAGGATTCTGTATTTGGAAGCTTCAAGATGCCAGTGGTGTCACACTTCAGGCACTTATCTCTTTAAAGTTTACAGAGGATCTTCAAGTTGTTATAAGCCACATGTTAATAAGTATTTTATAACAATGAACCAAATATCTGAAGAATGTCCCAAAGGAGACCAGCCCACCTTAGACTGGAGTATTCTTGTCATACATTTCATAGGCAAATTCTTCTGTATGAGCTCTGTCATTTAACAAGCCAATAAAATCTATCTCCAGCTGGAACGGACCATCTACTTTATCTCCGATTGTGAATCCAAGGGTACTAATCTAATTAAAAGATACATAGAACAGTATTTATAATGTTACAGTCAAACCAAATTGTACCTCTCACTCCATACTTTACAAACAACTCATGGCCATTTATTTTAAACTGGTATTTGTTCAAAATGCAACAGCCTTTCTTAAGGCTTGAACACTTCCCCATTTTTAATACAGACCCCTGTAGGAAATGGATTCACATTTGACTTTCTACCGCTGTAGTGAACCCTTGATTTAAAATAGCCTGAGCCTAAAGCAACACTGCAATTTTTATCCTTCAGGGTTTCATCATGATTGGGTTTATAAACACATTTTCTTATAAAGTCAAGTACAATTCTTTTGTGAGTTGGAAAGATAAAGATCTAATTAAGGACAGAAAGGATCATACTAAACCAGATGTTTTAAAAAGCATGAAACTTAAATACTGAGTTTAATAGTCACACTAAGTTCTTACCCACTGTTTCCCAATTAGAATAATGTTCTTAAAAATAAGAACGCTGTTTATTCCTTTCCTAATGTTCTCCACCACTATTCCCATTTTAAAAAATAGAATTATTCTAACTGCAGTAACTTCCGTAAAAATCTGTGTGGCTCAGGCATGATTTCTATTAGCCTGTGGCTTGCCCAAAAGCTCCTTCAGGTCTTATATGTTATGAAACACTTTTCAGAGACTCCAGTGTTAACAGTTCTATGGTAAATTGAGTCACCAGTGCAGGCCACCTCCTGAACTCAAGCTGCCCTGAAGCCCTGCTAGAAGTACAGATCTGAGCAGTGCCATGATTTTAAGAACAGCTGTACATTCAGGAAAATAATGTGTCAGATGAATAATTGTCCAAGTCTAAACATATATTGCAAATGTATGTCAAATAAACAATAGAACAAAGCTAAATAAATTAAATGCATTGACATTCCTCTTGGACCATTTTAATGCTTTAAATTCTGCCCTCGTAGCTCTACAAACAGCCTCTTGGCTTCTGGAGCCTGGAGAGTTTTTAAAGCTCCATCTTTCCAATTCACATTGCAGATGACTACTGGAGGCACCTAAACTCTTTGATCTGAAGAATCTATTCCTTTGCAAGCCCTAGATACCTTGGCTGTTCCCTGCTTTCTTATTCCTATTTAACAATTATTTCCTGCCTTCCCTGGTTCCTAGGAAAACATATAGTAGTACCCTGAGGGCCATTCACTTAAGAGTTGGACTCCATGATCCTTATGAATCCCTTCCAGCTCCAAATATTCTGTAGGATTCTGTGTGTGACCAAGACATCACGATTTCATAAATTGCCTTCATACCTTGCTTCCTTGGTTTTTGGGTTTCTTTAAAATATGTTTGTAAAATTACACTGCAAGTTCATAATTTTTACTCTGAAATACTATGCATAAGAACCATGAACAAAAATAAAGTGTAGGATGCTTAGATCAAGTATTGTTTAGTCCCTTTAACTCCTAGTAAATATTTTTAAACACCCCATATACAACTCTATGTTTTCATTTACCACTTTGAATGACTATATTTCAAAAACTGACAAATTCTTCGGTGGCCATATTTAAACATAGGCCTTTTATAACAACTTTCATCCATAATGCATATTTTTTTCTTGTAGCTGATCTACCTTCAAATCATTCATACTTGCTTTCTACGGCCTCAACTTCTATTTTAAAGCAGATTGTTTTCATGCTGTCAATCACTGAATTACCCTCAAATCTTTTGGGTTTTTTTTTCATTAAGGCAATTAGGAACTGAATGCACTATTTCAGGTGACTAACACTGATTCAAGTAATGGTCCTTTTATTTTCTTCCCATATATATTTCTAACATTGTTTCCGTTTTGGTGGTCACTGGGTATTAAGCTGCCCTCAATTACATATACAGGAGAGTCACTGAATTTTAAAAGAAAAAAAAAGATTCAGAAACAATTTTTTCATCATGTTTCCTCTGAATCAGTCTACCCATTTTGAGAAATAAATAAAAATACTCAATGCATTTACTCAGACTAGGAAGCCTGAAAAAAACTCCAAAATAGCCTATAAACACATCAGTTTACGGTTCATGTCAAGGTCACTGATATAGTACATCCTCAGATAAATGATATCACAATATGATATCTTTGACAGTCTTCTGTATCATAAAGAAAATTTATGATACTTCTACTATTTTTGGCAGTACCGTGCCAACCAGTATTTGAGATTGCTTAGTCACTTTGATCACTACACACACACAAATTGTTGAAAAGCTAAGTGCATTGTGAGTTGTTTCTTCGTTATATAAATCTTCTTAAAATATTTTTGGAGCACCTATGAAGCAAACTGACACTGCTATCACAAAGTAGGATAATTTAAGTGCAAAGGCAAGCACACAAGAAAATACCTTATAAGAAGAAGAGGCCCTTCAATTTTAAATTCAGAAATATTGAAGGATTTTTAAATTATCTATATCATGCCAATATGATCTTAAAGGAAGTTCTGAGTTTCTTACAGAGCAGTTGTGTGTTCCTCATACTGCATTTTCAAATGAAATTTCAGACACAGAAAACCTATAGAAAACTTGCCTTGTCTAGCCAGATAGGGTGCTGGCTATCCTGGATTCTTCCCCGACTGGAGAGAAAGAATTTGGAGAACGGAATCTGACATACACACAACAAAACAAGACTTTAGTGTCACCAGTATATAAAACAGAGACTCAAGGAAATAAAAAAGCCTGTCTTAGTTAAAAAAAAACCAAAAAACACTGCTACAGCTGGTATCAGCATCAGTTGGGTAGATAAAACTGGCACAAAGAAACGTGCCAGCATTAACTCTTTCTAACAGCCAGTCGCAGCCAGCACCGGGCACTGTTCTGCAGTGGCTGTAGCCATCATGCAGGGTGTTACCCTGTTAGGACACAGCGAGGGGCTACAGCACAGAAGGTGGCTGTTTACATCTCCTGGTAAAGGAGAATATCTCCTTCCAATAACACGTCAACATAACCCAGAAATTATTGAAAAGTCTGGCATGTGTGCACCTTGGCAGCTCACGTGTACCCAGGCTGTGGATTTCATAGTGCAAACTTCGTACTGAGACATCAGTACTCCAGCAAAGTAATTCAGAATAATGTAGAAATTACTTTGAATGCAGTGGGAGCAAGAAAGGAGGGCTGGCTGGTGAGGGTGAGAGGAAAACAACCAAGCCAGCAATGACACACTGACTTTCATCCTCCTGACTCCTCATCCGTGAAACAGTGGGCTGTTCCCATATGTTTGGACAATGGTATTATGAAGCACACAAAGCCAATTCATAAGGATGTGCAAACCTCCTTATCATTGTCATCAGCCAATTATGAAAGGTCCCCAAGTTGCATCAGAAAAGAGCTGCAACTCACATTTTTAAAAAATATTATTTTGTGTCACAGATTCAAGGGTCACAGGTTCAAGGGTCACAAATGACAAACCACACCTCTGACTCTCTGATTGACTCCAGCAAGGCTGTGGATTAAGCAAATCCTGTCACAGGGAACAAATCCTACACCAGCCTATGCCCATTTGTATTATAGATAAAAGGGTTATCACAGAGAATATTCATGGCAACACCTGCTAAGCTTCAACTGCTATATCTATCCTAATACTTCAGTAATAGCCAACAGCAGGCATTTAAGTGAACATATAGTGGATGAAATCTTTAATACAATTGACATAGCAGGCCCTCCCACAATCCAGTTTTGGGAACTTCCAAGCCAAAGGCACATGTCTGTTGTATAACAAATACAATGAATGGACAGCAATAGAAATAAACTGTGACTGTTGAAAGAATTCCCCTTTCACAGTATTTTGGCCAGGACCCCAAGACTGTCTCATTAGTTTGAAAGACTCATCAGTTTACCTTTATTTCCTCCCAGTATGGGCCTCCTCGGGTGAACATGAAGTAGTTGTAGAGGTCATCCTTCTGATGAGAGAAGTAAGGGTCTGTATAAATGTTTACCATCCAAGGTCTGCCATCACCACGGACACGTAAATACAAACTGTTGAAGTTTGACCAGTCATAATACTTCTTCCTTCTGAAAGATCCCTACAAATTATTAATAAATAGAATTATTTCTCCTTAATAAGGGAAACTTTTATTATGAAGAATAGAGCACTGTTGCTTTGATCACTGCCCTCGTTATTATGAAAATTTTAGATTATTCTTTCATCACACTGAATGCTGAGCTCACTTGATTTCCTTCAGCACTGTATTAGAGAGCCCACAAATTGCAATATTACCACCCTGAGGACTAATGCTTTCAATTATAAGCCACAATCTTTTAAGTATCGGAAATCAGACCCTCCTAGGACTGAATTCCCCACCAGGCAAGTATACAGATGCTATAGTAATGGATCAGTAGTTACATAGTTCATTAAGTTTAACGTAGTTCATTAAGTTTAATATTCTGTGGTCAGTTCTAGATTATTCAGAGATGATGACAGGAAACTGAAGAAGTGGGATAATTTATGCCCCGTAATAACCTCCCAATTGAAGACTAACATAAGCACTGGGAGCATTTAATGTTTTCCAACACTTTTTTCATTAATTGTGCAAAATGATACCAACAGCAAGCATGTCTAATTCTCAACTGCATTTTTTCCAGAGATCTGCATCTTTGTTGCCATTTGTATACAGGCAGATCCAAGAGTCTTCAGAGAGTTACACTGAGGTCACTTAGAGCAAAGGTCAAGGTTATTCTTGACCAGAATTGCTTAAATGAAGTCAAAATTAGCACCAAAAATTCAGATGTTTCCCCTTTATTTTACAGCACTACTATGGGTTACATATTGACTATCCTTCTACTAACTCATCTTGTAGGTAACAGTATGACTAGATCATCAATATATTAATACAAGGCCTGTAGCTATTTGATTTTATGGTTTTGACAGTTTTTAGCCTTTCTACTTAAATAAAGAAGAGTCTTTGTATTTATGTTTTCACTGTCCAATTTCAAATTGCCTTATAAAGATGGACTGATACACTTCACTGCTTCAGAATTAGGAGGTCACATTTGCACAAATCAGTAGCAGTCATGAGAATTCAATTCAGACAAGATTCCACTTGTTGTTCCACTCGTCTGACCCACTGTCACCATTTTAATTGGTTTTCTTCTGTTTCTCATTTACCCATTGATTTTGCCACTGATATGTTTTTTGCTGATATGTTCTTCTCTTCAAGATTCTGGCCCAGAAATTATCTTACCTGTGTAGTTGTGCCAAAACACAAACAGAACAAACTAAACAGTTAAGGATTTTAGACACTGAGTCAAAATGTTCCTTTGCTTTTAAAGGTACTTAGAAATAAGGAATGAAACAAGCAGTGTCAATAACAAGCACATCCATTTCTGGTTCTATTTTGCTCAATTCTGAGCTATCAAAGATCTGTGTCTCCCTTTTTCTGATGTACAGTAGGAGGCAGACCTTTAAAAGTTCCATTCAAAGCATTCTTTTCTGTTCCTGTGAGAAAAAAAGATGAGCTTGTTCACCCTAACCAAGTTTGACGAAGAGACCAAGTCAAAGCCCAGAAATTTTTTCCTTATGACACATTCAATTAACTTCAAATTTAGAGAGACATCTAATTTAATCATACCAATTCTGGATATAAAGATTCATTTAGACTCAATGACCTTGGAGGTCCTTTCCAACCTTAATGATTCTACAACTACAGACCCTCTATTTGCAAGGATCAAACACATATTATTCCTTTTATAAGAAAGGAAAACGAAATCCAAGAAAAATTTTACGTTCCTTCCAGGTCAAAGAATACAGCAGCAATGACACCCCTGAAAGAATATCTCATACTCCTGAAAGTGCTCAGTTTCAACTGTAGTAAACAGCAGCCTACTTGCTATCACAGGGATTACACAAACATGCCCTCGGATTCAGTAACAAAGCTGTGCAAACATGGAGCTGTA